TAACAGGTAAGTTTTTTGGGGTATGTAGCCTAGGCCTTTGGCCGTAGGGGATAATGTCACGGACAGCCGTCTAACGTCCTAGGGGCAACTCCCATGGCTATGGTAGAGTTGGTACTTAGTGCTCGCCATAGGTTTCTGGCATGCATTCCCCTCAGCATGGTGGCGTGGGTATATAATTCCCCATAGCGACCCCTAGAGAATGCAGTTCGAAGTTCCCTTGAAAGGGAACGTCTCAGGTTACTTATGTAACCATGGTTCCCTGACTAGGGAACGAGACACTGCATCCTCTAGGTTTCCTGCCTTGCTTCGGACGCTAGTGACGTCATGGGCTGTCGCCGGCCAACATGTTGTTGGTGTTTTTTGAATGTATGCTTCAGACACGGGTCATGACGAGGCATTCCCCATAGCGACCCCTAGAGGACGCAGTGTCTCGTTCCCTACTCAGGGAACCATGGCTACATAAGTAACCTGAGACGTTTTCTGTATTAGTTGTTGTTATGGTTCCTGCTGTTGACTACAGTCAGCGTATCTATTTGTGTTGTGGTGATGATGTTTAGCAGAGCTAGAGTTAATAATGGTCTGTCTGTTTGAATGGAAGTGATAACTGACGTATGAGCTGGTTGTCTGGTTCTCAAGGGCAATTGAGTGACATAAACAACTGAACATTATACTATCGTATATTAATGTGCAGCCATGCACTTATGTCTTATGAAACCATGACTTAGAGACAGTTCAGAGCTGTGCACGTGCATGAGTTTGTTTGTAATGAAAGGTGCAGTGATCTGTCACAAGGCATTAGGGTCACAGTGTTGAGCTTCTGGGATTTAAGCGGACACAATCAAACCAAATCTATGGCTACAGTCTACATTCATGGTTATATGAGTGAATGGTTGTGTTTGCAGATATACAGTGTTTTTACAAATAGACCTAGATGTTTTCCTCCAAAGATTGAAAAAATCTTTAAAATGCAAACACTCCCTAAAGCATTCATTTCCTACATTTAGTACTATTATTACTCTCCCTACAGGAGATGGTGCCGTCCCACTTGGCTACATCGCCCATAATTTCAGAGGGCTCTGCCCTAATGCAGGCCCAAGTTGGAAAAGGCACGTCCCGTCTGTCTCACTCTGGAAACGAAACCTCCATTCAAACCCTGGGATCCATGCAGGCCCATTGCGACAGTTCAATAATGAAGAAGAGAAGGAAGAGGAGGAGAAAATCTCAAGTAGACAGCATGAAGCGAGAGGACAACGGAGACTTTTCGGAAGACGAAGACATGTTTCCCATTGATATGAGTTCTGATGATGATACAGAGACTACAGGAAGCAGGTCAGAACAAACAGAAGATATGGAGAAAGTTTTTAATCTGATAAATATTATTCCACATGACTTTCATGCCATTCTAAACCTGTATGAGTTTTTTTGGAACACAAAAAGCAGACATTTTGAACAATATCCATGCCACTTTTTTCCATACCAGGGGCTGCCAAACATCAAAAATGAAAAGAAAAAAAAAAAACTACAGAAGTAGACCATATGGCTTTGCACATTCTAATTTAGCACATTGCAAATGGTTTTGAGACATGTAATATAATTAACGTATAATTGACATTTTTTGTGCTTTTTTGAATGTATGTGAACTTAAATGAGTTTTGAGTGCTGAGATGAATGGTGTTTTTTGAAGTATGACAGCCCCTGGTCACTGTTCACTTTCATTGTATTTGGGTAAATGGGGATAGTGGTCTTGCCAAGATCTCACACGGAATCTAAATCCCACTTTTCTGCGAGTTCAACTTGGCAGGAGCTGTGAAGCTTAACTTATTTCCTGTATAGAGCATAGAGAGCATGCACCATTTAGGACAGAACAGATGGTTCTGATAATGCAGAGAGATCCTCCTTCTCTTAACCCATTTGAAAACACTGCAAATTGTGTGATTGCAGTGGCATAATGTTTTTGCTGCAAGTTTGCTGGAATGAATCCGGTTGCAGTGGTCTTGTGATGTGGGCTGTGTCTGTTTGTTCACTCTTCGAATAAGCTCTGCAATGGAGAGAGAGAGGCTAAGTGGAGAAAAAGAGGTCGCCAGTCCTATTGCTGAAGTAAACAAGTGGCTCAAACAGCCCCTCCAATGTTTTTCCACGAAATTCATGAAACCATGCCAATTCTGGCTCCAGCTCGAGGGGAGTCCTTTGTCATGTTGGGCAATCTAGCATTACCCCCACATATCTAAGAAAAGAAATGATTTGCAATATAAACCAGTTTAACAACATAAACATCCTTTTTCCTTCTTTCACTCCCAGTGGACGACAATTTATGTATTTTATCTGTTCAATCTGGATAAGCAAGTTAATAGGTCAAACTTTTAGTGCACTACATGCTTTGCATTACCAAGAATCTGTTTCCCAGGTACCAGTAATAAATTTAAAAAGTGACGGTAAAGGCCACTGGCAAAACACTGTTCACAAGGCCAAAAAGAGTCAGCTGGGAATGAATCTAAACTCAAGAATGTGTTGCTCGGCAAAGCGGCAGTTTGAATCCAGCTCTTTAGAAACCCCACAATGCTCTCTGTCTTCCTGGAAGAATGAGCCTGTTGATGACAAGCACTGCTGATTATCCCTGGCTATATCTATACGCATGAAGTAAAAATGTACTTTAAATGTATACAATGTCTTACTCTTACCTTTTGCAGGTATATATACTTACGTATATGTTTGCCTATACTGTATGTGTTTTCAGAGCCATGTCACATGAGCTATTTGCTGAGCAGGTGAAAGGAACTAGCAGCACATACACACAGTCTGAAGGGAACTGGACTGCTGTTCAAAGGTATGCCACTTAAGACTCCTTACTTTCAGCCACTTAGTCAAGTCTCAGTCAATTATGAAAAACAAAGTCACAATTGCAAGATATAAAGTTGCAAAGTTGCAATAAAGAGAATGAACACACCATGTATAATATAATACTTAGCAAAATAGACAACAATGTACCACGACTAGTAGTTATTGTTTGCATTTCAAAGAAGAAAAAAAACAGAACTGTATTTGTGCCTGTCAGTTGAATTAAATATTCTAAACGAAACACTGCAGTGCCAGCAATTCAGTGAAAAGACAGTAAGAGATGTCTGTGAAGTGAACCCCACCCCCTGTGAAATCCAAAAACGTGTATGTCTGCATCATATTTTATTTGATTACACGTAAAATAAATATTCAGGCCAACAGGAATGTTTCTCACAACAGTAAATCCCAGGATATGCTGTATTGCTGACTGTAACCGAGACCGGACCGAAGGCCTTATCAATATAGATCGATCATCATCAGCAAACTGTTCCCACAGCTACAGTATGATGATTATACTGATATATCATAATACACACAATACATGCCAATACATTCGGCTGTGTTTATTTTACAACAGACTATTATGCTTATACTGTATATTATTTATTATTGTATATGTGAAATTCAAAATAATAGACATTTGAAAATAAATCATTGTTTTCTGACCCACAGCAAAGGGTTGGAGAAGATCTGCTCCTTACCCATTCCCACCAATTCAGGATTGTCCATTTCCTGCCCTCAACAAACAGCCATGTTTCAGTCCACACCCAGGTAACCACTGCTGCCGCTATAGAATGTAATTAAATTTGAAACAAAGCCATAACTTGTGGGTCAATATCACTGTAGGGTGCCTTTTGGTGTCCTGTACATAAATAACTCATTTGCCATAATAACTTAACAAAAAATGACTATGAAAGGGTGTGTTATATTAGGCTAAGTTTTTATATTCATAACAAAAGCATTACTTTGCTCTTGGATGGTGTTTTTTGAAGCATGTCAGCCCCTGGTCACTATTCACTTTCATTGTATGTGGGTAAATGGGGATAGTGGCCTTACCAAGATCTCACACTGAATCTAAATCCCACTTTTCTATGAGTTCAGCATCGCAGGAGCTGTGGAGCTTAATTTATTTCCTGTATATAGCATAGAGCATGCAACATTTAGGACAGAATAGATGGTTCTGATAATGCAGAGAGATCCTCCTTCTCTTAACCCATTTGAAAACACTGCAAATTGTGTGATTGCAGTGGCATAATGTTTTTGCTGCAAGTTTGCTGGAATGAATCCGGTTGCAGTGGTCTTGTGATGTGGGCTGTGTCTGTTTGTTCACTCTTCGAATAAGCTCTGCAATGGAGAGAGAGAGGCTAAGTAGAGAAAAAGAGGTCGCCAGTCCTATTGCTGAAGTAAACAAGTGGCTCAAACAGCCCCTCCAATGTTTTTCCACGAAATTCATGAAACCATGCCAATTCTGGCTCCAGCTCGAGGGGAGTCCTTTGTCATGTTGGGCAATCTAGCATTACCCCCACATATCTAAGAAAAGAAATGATTTGCAATATAAACCAGTTTAACAACATAAACATCCTTTTTCCTTCTTTCACTCCCAGTGGACGACAATTTATGTATTTTATCTGTTCAATCTGGATAAGCAAGTTAATAGGTCAAACTTTTAGTGCACTACATGCTTTGCATTACCAAGAATCTGTTTCCCAGGTACCAGTAATAAATTTAAAAAGTGACGGTAAAGGCCACTGGCAAAACACTGTTCACAAGGCCAAAAAGAGTCAGCTGGGAATGAATCTAAACTCAAGAATGTGTTGCTCGGCAAAGCAGCAGTTTGAATCCAGCTCTTTAGAAACCCCACAATGCTCTCTGTCTTCCTGGAAGAATGAGCCTGTTGATGACAAGCACTGCTGATTATCCCTGGCTATATCTATACGCATGAAGTAAAAATGTACTTTAAATGTATACAATGTCTTACTCTTACCTTTTGCAGGTATATATACTTACGTATATGTTTGCCTATACTGTATGTGTTTTCAGAGCCATGTCACATGAGCTATTTGCTGAGCAGGTGAAAGGAACTAGCAGCACATACACACAGTCTGAAGGGAACTGGACTGCTGTTCAAAGGTATGCCACTTAAGACTCCTTACTTTCAGCCACTTAGTCAAGTCTCAGTCAATTATGAAAAACAAAGTCACAATTGCAAGATATAAAGTTGCAAAGTTGCAATAAAGAGAATGAACACACCATGTATAATATAATACTTAGCAAAATAGACAACAATGTACCACGACTAGTAGTTATTGTTTGCATTTCAAAGAAGAAAAAAAACAGAACTGTATTTGTGCCTGTCAGTTGAATTAAATATTCTAAACGAAACACTGCAGTGCCAGCAATTCAGTGAAAAGACAGTAAGAGATGTCTGTGAAGTGAACCCCACCCCCTGTGAAATCCAAAAACGTGTATGTCTGCATCATATTTTATTTGATTACACGTAAAATAAATATTCAGGCCAACAGGAATGTTTCTCACAACAGTAAATCCCAGGATATGCTGTATTGCTGACTGTAACCGAGACCGGACCGAAGGCCTTATCAATATAGATCGATCATCATCAGCAAACTGTTCCCACAGCTACAGTATGATGATTATACTGATATATCATAATACACACAATACATGCCAATACATTCGGCTGTGTTTATTTTACAACAGACTATTATGCTTATACTGTATATTATTTATTATTGTATATGTGAAATTCAAAATAATAGACATTTGAAAATAAATCATTGTTTTCTGACCCACAGCAAAGGGTTGGAGAAGATCTGCTCCTTACCCATTCCCACCAATTCAGGATTGTCCATTTCCTGCCCTCAACAAACAGCCATGTTTCAGTCCACACCCAGGTAACCACTGCTGCCGCTATAGAATGTAATTAAATTTGAAACAAAGCCATAACTTGTGGGTCAATATCACTGTAGGGTGCCTTTTGGTGTCCTGTACATAAATAACTCATTTGCCATAATAACTTAACAAAAAATGACTATGAAAGGGTGTGTTATATTAGGCTAAGTTTTTATATTCATAACAAAAGCATTACTTTGCTCTTTAGATACATTTTCTAGATTTTTTTTAGTTTTGTGTAAGAGGATGCGTGTTATTTTGCTATGTCCCATGCACTGCTCATTCAATTTGAATGATAGTAGAATATTGTCAAATCATAGAATTAAAAAAAAATTTATCCTATTAACATTTTGTTGAATAAAAGATTACTCAATTTGAGTGTATTGATCATTTGGTAATAAAAACTATATTTTTATTTAATAAAAAAGAAGAGTTTGTCCATGTCTCTTGAATGGTTGTCCACCCTGTCGTATTGGGGAATCCGTCCCTTTCAGAAAAGGCCATCAACTTTAGTGACATCAGGACAACAGATTTTTTGTCTCTTCAGTGGCGGGAATTTCGAGATGGTCCTCACTGCAGAACACAAGATCCAGGGGGCGAGGTTGGATCCAGATCCAACTCCTCCCACCTTACATAAACCTAAACCTACCCGTCTCTACCCCCTGATCCCTAAACCCACCCATCTCCACCCCTAAACCTACCATCTCCACCCCCTAGATGTGGATCCAACCCCGCCCCCTGGATCTTTGTTCTGCAGTGAGGGGCTACTGGGAATTTCAACGGCTGAGGTGAATAAGCTGGTGACTTTTCAGTTGACAAATTTTCTTCGTCTGAGTTTGCCAAAGCTAAACATGTCCACCCTGTCGGCATAAAATATGCCAGAAGTGATTAGAATACAGTATTTTCAAAATATGTAAGTTTAAATATACCAAATTCTCTTCAACAACCAGACTAAATATTTAGCTAGTCACAGTTTGTTGTAAGCTAATATGCTAATTGAAGTTCAAAATGTCCACCCTATCGGCCATTTAGACTCAATAGAGTGGACATAAACATGACAGGGTGGACATAGCATTCATTTGTAGTTAATATTGCTAAAAACTCAAATGAATGGGGGGTATATCAATGTGATTGAGGATGTAATTATATTATTTATTATTTTGCAATGAAAACGTATTTAACAGTAATATATATTTCCACGACAGGGTGGACATATCTTATGGTTTATGCTTCAAATAATGGCCCATAATTATCTAAAAAAATGTGTGGGAGCTCAGCTAATATGTTTCTATAGTACTTGAGTGTCTACTATTTATGATATGACAAAGCGAATGGGACATTAAAACCAAAATTTTTGAGTATTTTGAGGGTTGAAAGGCACTCTATGGTGATATTGACCCTTGTATTAAAAAGCCTTACATTTCTCTAGTGTATTGTCCAATTTAAAGATTTTTCCTCTTTGTCGAGCATATAATTCAGTTTTGCAGGACAAGGAATTAAAAGTTGAAGGCATTGTTCCTAGCTTATTTCACAACAGCTGTATAAATACAAATCTACAGTTAATCCAAATGTTTCTCAATGTCTTTCATTCTTCCCTACAGCAGCCCAAATGGCTCCTTGTCATCTACACCCAAGAGTGACTCTGAATTGCTGGCCAGTCAGAGGAGCGGAGGGAAACCGGACAACCCTGAGATGCTTTGGACATGGGGAGAGCTGCCTCATGCTGCCAAGGTACAATAATCACTAGACATGCCACATAACAACAACAAATTAACAAATGTGAAGCGGCTAACTCTACATCTTTCTCTTTCCACAGCCGTCATTCCTGCAGCCCATGTCGGAGCCCATGGTGGTGACCCCAAGATCAATCCCACCGTCTGAAAGCACACACTTCAGAGCCATCACTGGGGAAGGGATGGTGGAGTCTCACGGCGGTGATGTGTATGTGCCTGATCTCAGGGTTGAAGAGGCAACATCTGCCGCTGCTGTAGATGTGGAGGCCATCAGTGCAGCCGCCCATCTTTTCACAGACCTAGAAGAGGAGCGGCACAGCCCTGGAGCTCATGCCATTAGCAAGACAGATTCTCCATCCAAGAGAAAAGGTAGAGAGTATTAAGGCTCTAAAAATGCCTTTTTATGATAAAGTTACAAAGCAAAACGTATTTGGCTAAAACATATAATGCCGCACTACATCAATTCCTAGACAAAAGGAGCCGGCACCTGGGATCAGATGGAGTATACCTGGATGACATCACAGAATTGGAGCCTGAGGTGGCAGCCTTGTACTTTCCAAAGAGGTAAATTTTCACTTGGTCATTTATGATCCAGGTGTAATGTAAGTATTTTAAATGATTTTTAATTGTCAAAATTGTTTTGTGTTGTTCAGTGATGGAGCAACTTCTGTGAGAGGTGGGGCAGATTCGAGAAGTGCCAATCAGTCCCCTCAGTCAGTAGGCAGCAGTGGAATGGACAGTGGGGTGGACAGCTTTTCTGACCAGTTAGGAGACTTGCCTCATATTGCCATCTCTCTATGTGGAGGACTGACAGAAAACAGAGAGATCACTAGAGGTGAAAGGACAAGTTGTGATGTACCTGTAAACTACTAGTAAAAAGTTTGGGGTTGGTAATATTTTTTAATGTTTTAAAAGAAAGAAGCTCATTTATTTGATAAAAAAAATACAGTAAAAACAGTAAAATTGTTAAATATTATTGCAATTAAAAATAAGTTTTTAATTGTTTTATATTTTAAAAAGTAATTTGATGTAAAATGTCATTACTGTCACCTTTGAACAATTTTTTGTCAACTTTAAACTTGGTGAATTACTTTTCACCAGGTATGCATTCAACCTTACTGACCCCAAACCTTTCAATGGTAGTGTAAAATAATGTATTTTCAGTGGCTGTTCTGTTATTCTGTAGGCTCTGTGAGAGGCAGGGCATAGAGGAACTACAATAATGTACAGTATTTGAAAAATAATGTGTTTTTTGAACATTAAAGCATGTCAGCATATTCTGTTACACCAAATACACAAAATAATGATCTTTAAAATAGCATCACCCCTTTAATATCCTGTTTTTTTCTAGATTTCATTAGCTAGGGAAGTAAATATAGAGTTTTTACAATCTTTCATTCACAGAGGAATTTGAGGAACGAGCAATATCTTATCAGGAGTTTGCAGATAATCCATCTATCATTGATGATCCCAACCTGGTCGTAAAGATTGGCACGAAGTATGTCACACATCCTGCCACATAAAAACATTTACATAATGTCATCAAAATGTTGTCAAAATACTCCTAAACTTACAATTAAGTATTTTATTACATTTGTCAATTATTTCACACATTTTGTTCTCTCCACGGAGGTATTATAATTGGATCACAGCCGCTCCTATCGTACTAGCCGTGCAGGTTTTCCAGAAGACCTTGCCAAAGGTAAGGACTGCATAAACAACACACACATACATAAAGGTCTTTAGGTATTCAACAATGACAATGTGACCTTATAGTAGTTTAAATAAAGCTTAACATTTGAGCTAGTTAATATCAAAGTTAACCATTGATTGCCCAGTGATGTACATGTACTGTATGTAGGTGACTTAACTTTATTTCTGTTAACATAATAAGAAAGCACAATTCTTTTTTTATATTTAAAATAGAAAATATACAATTTAAAATGACTTGAATTATAATTCATTCTATTAATTCTAAATAAAGTTAAATGATTTAATTCAAAAATATTTACAATTAAATACAATGATTTTAAATTAAACTAATAACTTAATTACTTTTTGAGGGTTGGATTCATGTGCCCCCTGCAGGTGGATTACAACAAAGAAAATGTTTATTTGGAAACATCATTGTCCGTCATATACAGTTAAAAAAATACTGTACTCCACTGGATGTGTCTCACTTTTGAATATTTATAATAATTTGGACACCTTTGCTTATTTAGGTTTTTATTTAAAAGTCAGCACTACCTCAGTACTAACCAAATGAATAGCACAGTTTAAATAGGTAAATGATGAAATACTTCACAGTGGTAGAAAATACCATTTTGTTTCTGTATTGTTTGTCTTCTCAAGTGTTCTACAAGTGTTTCATGGCTTTTTAAAGACCTTGTGTATTCTACACCCCGGCTCTCAGGGCACTCCAGGGCATTTAAATTGGTCTCTTCCCTCCTCCCTGTTTTTCTTCTTCTTTTTTGTTTTTAATTGATCTCCCCTCATCCCATCCCATTGTGCGCCATTGCGCTTAGTATTCCTGTCTGAGTTACGTCTACTCTGCTCTTGGTTTCTTCACATACTGTTTTCCTAGCGTGTTGGGCTCTAGTCCTGTACGTCTTTGTGAATTTGTGTTGATTTATTAGCTGCATGTTTGTTCAGTCACAGTCATCCTGTCATTTAGTTTTTGAGTTTTGAGTATCAGGGGCTCTGTGCGTTTGCTCCAGGCCACAGTGGAGAACATCATGAAGGAGAAGATGCCCAAGAAAGGAGGACGCTGGTGGTTTTCATGGCGGGGCAGAAACAACAACTCCAAATCGGTATATTTGCATTATTGCATATAGGAAATAATTGTGAATTGAATTAAGGGTGTGAAATGATACCAGATTTATCACAAGACTTTTTGACTTGGCAGGTTTGCAAATATTATATATGCAAAAAAAAAAACATGCAAATGAGTTACTGTCATTCCTACTGCAACAGGAATCAGCATCTGACCAGATTGAAGGTGGAGAGGATTCTATAAGAACAGCATCTGTGAGCAGGTACCTAATGTTTCATATTTAGAAAAACACAACATGTTCTGGCTAATAGATTAAAGGGTCATATTCTGCATTTTCTTAGCATATTTCAGCTGAAGTACAGTTGTATAAAAAAAACACCAAATACAAGAGTAGAGACAGAAGAGTCGCTTCCACATTCCTCTATGCCTAGCAAAGGCGTAGCAAAATAGTTTCGTAAAAATAGTAGTTCTGTTCGTAAGTACCACCAAGTCGTAAGTATGTGTAACAGCAGCAGCTCTGGACATGTGACCATAAGCGCAAATCTTATCGGTTTGTCAGTTTTATACGCAGTGCAGTGGAAAAGAGATTTTTTTTTTGCCTCTCCATAAAAAACTGTTGCATTGACAGCATGCAAATCAGTCTGTACAGACACATTAATAGCCATTCATTCAAATTATAATGTTGATCGCACCAAATATTTGCACTGGACATTCATATCAGTCTTTAGACAAGGTCTCTCGCATCCAAAAGTTGTTATTAAGGTTTACACTAACATGTTACACCATCTCTCAGGTCTTTAGAATTAAACAGACCTAGGGCCAGTTACTAACAGCTTGTGCCAGCCCAAACTGTCTTTTGGCATTAAAATAGTACTGTCAGGGTTTACTAAAAGCATGCAGTGAAGAATTAGTGCTGAAAAGGCATGGACACAGTTATTTTTGTGCCTAACCTTATTGAATATGCATTTGTAGGAGTTTCTCTTTCAGGCGCAAAATTTATGGGAGAGTATTCAAATGAATCACGCAACGAGTTTTACTAACGTTTGCGCTCGTCAAATTACTGGTATTTGCGCCATTATTTAACGCCCCAAAAAAAGCATGT